GGAAAAAGTTGAGAGCGAGCTAAAAAAGGCCAAAGCGGCTAAGGCACAGTCGGCATGTGCCACAAATCCGGTTACAACGGACAGAGTTAACCAGCGCCTGCTGGACCATGCTATGGCCAATAGAGAGATGGCAAACATGTTTGCCAATGAGGCTATAAGGACTCGGGCCTATGAAGAAGGCTTTTTTGATTGCCGAAAAATCAGCATTGAAAGGACTAAGGAAAAATTGGCGGAAGACGTCTGTTGATGCGAGAACCACGGCTTCAAGCACGGTTGGGTTAGGGATTTATGAGCCGCGGGCATCGGTTCGACATCACCACTATTTTAGAATTACAAGTTTCCCTTCGAAGCTTACAACGTCGAAAAAATCGACGACGAAGAGGATGCCGAGATGGAAAAGACTTAGATATTAAGAAATATATTATTTGTACTTTTGAATCCATCCAACGCTGTGTATTTGTACTGGTGGCGAAATAAATAAATATTTTCTTTATTCATGCGTATAATGTTTATATCTACTTCTGAATTCATTTGTTTAAGACAAATAAATAAATATTTGCTTTATTCATTTGCATCGGTGGTGAAAAGCTTACAACGCTATGTATGTTGTTTCATGCCATTCTATTGCCAAATTCAAAGGGCGCTTCGAATTCAGAAGCTTATTCGGCCCATACGTGATATCCACGAAGGGAACTCTGAATTCAAAGGCTTATTCGGCTCATTCGTGATATCCACACAGGGTGCTCCAAATTCGGAGTCTTTTTTATTGGCCAATCGTGATATCCACGAAGGGCACTTCGAATTCAGAGGCTTATTCGGCTCATATATGATATGTACGAAGGGCGCTCCAAATTCGGCGTCTTTCTTATTGGCCAATCGTGTTATTCACAAAGGGCGGTCCAAATTCGGAGGCTTATTTGACCCATCGTGATATCCACGAAGGGCTCCGAATTCAACGTCTTTCTTATTGGCCAATTGTGATATCCACGAAGGGTACTCTGCATTCGGAGGCTTATTCGGCCCATTCGTGATATCCACGAAGGATGCTCTGAATTCAGAGTCTTTTTTATTGGCCAATCGTGATATCTATGAAAGGCCCTCCAAATTTAGAGTTTTTTTATTGGCCAATCGTGATATTTACGACAGGCGCTCCAAATTTAGAGTCTTTCTTATTGGCCAATCGTGATATCCACGAAAAGCGCTCCGGATTCGGAGGCTTATTCGGCCCATACGTGATATACACGAAGGGCACTTCGAATTCAGAGTCTTTCTTATTGGCCAATCGTGATATCCACGAAGGGCGCTCCAGACCGGAGGCTTATTCGGCCCATTCGTGATATCCACGAAGGGCGCTCCGAATTCGGAGTCTTTTTTATTGGCCAATCATGATATCCACGAAGGGCACTCTGAATTCGGAGGCTTATTCGAGCCATACGTGATATCTACGAAGGGCGCTCCAAATTCAGAATCTTTTTTATTGGCCAATCGTGATGTCCACGAAGGGCGCTCCAGATTCAGAGGCTTATTCAGCCCATACGTGATATCCACGAAGGGTGCTTCGAATTCAGAGTCTTTTTTATTGGCCAATCGTGATATCCACGAAGAGCGCGTCGAATTCAGAGGCTTATTCGATCTATACGTGATATCCATAAAGGGCGCTCCAAATTCGGAGTCTTTTTTGCCTTTAAACCATTATTAACAGGACGACGATAAAAAGGACATTGCATTGAGGAATTCGTAGATGTGTACACGTTAATATGGCAGCAAAAATTAGCAACAAACTAACATGCTGTACAAGTTGGCTTAATGATAAAATTTACACAGTTGTGTGGAATTCCAAGGGCGTGGCAAACTTCTGCCGGCCATGTCTGAAAGTTGATACGCCCCTGTTCTGGCGATTGAATCAATCTGATAAGGGTCGTCCTAGTTTGGGCCTAATTTTTCGCCTGTCGGATTCTTAGTAATAGGAAGCACTTTCTTGAGGACCAATTCTCCAGGTGTATAATGACGCAACCGTACGCACTGGTTATATGATTTAACGAGCTGCTATTGATACCGCGCCATGCACGCAAGAGCACGATCTCGGTGTTCTTCAATCAGAGTCAGGTTTAAGGCCAACATCACGTCATTACGGCCCATGTCAAAAACCTTGGATTTCAATGTGGGTAGGCCGATCTCCAGAGGGATAATTGCCTGGGTTCCAAAGCACAAAGCGAACAACGTTTTCCCAATGGATCGCCTTGGAGTAGTGCAATGAGCCCATAACATACTGGGCAATTCTTCGACCCATCTACCTTTAGCTTTTTCCAACCTTTTCTTGATGCCGTCTAGGATCACTTTATTTGAGGCCTCTGCCTGACCGTTGCTCTGTGGATATGCCAGCGAGGAAAAGTAGGGCCGAATACCATTTGTGTTGCATAATTCCCGATAAACGCCACAATCGAATTGGGTGTCGTTGTCTGAAGCAAGTGCTCTCGGCATGCCGAATCGTGTTATGATGTTTTTCCATACAAAATGCTTAGCATCAACATCTCGAATATGTGCTAATGCCTCTGTTTTGACCTATTTTGTAAAATAATCTATTGCGACAATCAGGAATCGCTTGTTCTCTAGAGCCCATGGTAATGGTCTGATGATATCAAGTCCCCATTGAGCAAACCACCAAGGACTAGTGATAGAGTTTAACTCCTCGGCAGGCAGATGAGTTAAAGGGGAAAACTTCTGGTATTGTTCGCATTTCTTGACATAATTCTGAGCATCTGTTCGCATGGTCGGCCAATAATACCCCTGTATTACTACTTGGTGGCCAATGAGCGTCCTCTAAAATGGGCATCACAGCTACCTTCATGTATTTCGGCCAAAAGTTCCTCAACTTTATCTGGGTGAACACATTCCAAGTATGGCCTAGAAAGAGATTTTTTGTAAATTTTTTCTTGCAGATCCAAATAGTATCGCAGAGCTTTATTTCGTAGTTTGTGGGCTTCTTTCTTATCCATTGGGAGTTGTTCTGAGGAAAGAAAATGTAGCAATAGGGTCTATCCAACTTGTTCTTGGTTCAATGATATTAATCTGAACTGGTTTAGAAGAGGTGATGCTTGGCTTTGTGATGAATCCTACTTTGATTGTTCGTTTGACTTCTGAGTTAATGGAGGAGGCTAGGCAAGCAAGAGCATCTGCATGTGTGTTCTGATCCCAGACTATTTGATTCAATTCGTGGTGGTCGAATTTCGTGAGCAAGGAATTTGTCATTTTTATTTAGGTTGCCATGCGGTAATTTTTAGTTGCATAGTCCCCTTTCAACTGGTTGATGACTATTTTCGAGTCACAGAAAACAAGCAACTGTCGTGGACCAAGGTAAAGTGCGTTACGAAGGCCGGTTAGCAATGCCTCATATTTGGCCTCATTATTTGATGCATTAAAGCCCAGTTTGACAGCCTACTCGATTATTGCCCCTTCGGGGGTCATAATTACTACACCTGGCCTACTGCCACGTGGTTGGATGACCCGTCACAGTACATCTGCCAAATTTCTCCAACATATATTCGACAGTTAGGTTTAGGTTGCACTTGATCGGACTTGAAGTCGGCATGGCATCCCGTGAATTCGGCTACAAAGTCGGCGAGCACTTGCCCCTTGATGGCAGTTCTAGGCAAAAATTGGATATCATACTGGCCAAGTTCCAAAGCCCATTTCGAAACTTGCCCTGATGCTTCCACGCTATGGAACGCTGACCGGAAGGGATAGTCCGTTAGTACCTCTATAATATGCCCTTGAAAGTAATGCATCAGTTTTCTTGCAGCCATCACGAGAGCAAATATGAGCTTTTCCAGTTGTAGATAACGTGTTTCGGTGTCAGCCATTGCCTTGCTTACATAGTAAACTAGTCGTTGCTCCCCGAGTTCTTTCCTTAAAAGTATGGCATTGACCGCCCAGTCGGATACCGCCAGATACAAAATGAGCAGATCGCTTGCCGAGGGGGTTGCCAAGAGTGGTACTGATTGGAGATAAGTTTTCAAGCCGTCCAGAGTAGCCTGGCACTTGGGGGTCCATTCAGAAGCTTTGCCCTGCCGAAGTATGTGAAAGAATTGTCGTCAGCAATCTGTGGAACGGCTGATAAACCTGTTGAGTGCGGCGGCCATTTCCATTAGCTTCTAAACTTCTTTGACCAACCAAGGAGAGCCAAGTTCTAGAATTGCTGTGATCTGCCTCGAGTTGGCCTCTATTTCGTGGTGGTTGACAATGTAGCCAAGAAATTTGTCGGATCCGATGCCAAATGCACACTTCGAGGCATTCAGTTTCATATTGTACTTTCGTAGAATGCTGAATGTCTCTGCCAAATCAGCTAGATGGGCATGCTTTTCCTTGTATTTTACCACCATGTCGTTGATGTATACTTCCATGGTGCGGCCGAGCTATTTTTTGAACATGGTAATAACCAGTTTCTGGTAAGTTACCCCCGCATTCTTCAGCCCGAAAGGCATGACCTTGTAGTAATAGGTTCCTTTTGGGGTGAGGAATGTGGTCTTTTCTTGATCCTCCAAATGCATGGCAATTTGGTGATATCCTCTGTAGGCATCCAAAAAGCTCATGTGTTGATGATGTGCCATTACATCTACGAGTTGGTCGATTCTGGAGAGGAGAAAACAATCATTGGGACAAGCTTTGTTTAAGTCCGTGAAATCCACACAAACGCGTCAAGATCCATTTGTTTTCTTTACAACCACGGTATTGGACAACCATGTAGGGTAGGTTACTTCGCAAATTGCCCCAGCATCAAGCAATCGATCAACTTCTTCAACAACGGTCGAAGCATGGTCCGCGGCTGACCGCGCAACTTTTCTAAATGATTGGCTTACATTTTGGATCAACGTTTAAGCGGTGCTAGGCCACAAATGGATCCACCCCCGACATCTCGTATGGTGTCCATGTAAACACGTTGAGGTTGCCGAGTAAGAAGGATACAAGCTTGCATCTGTTAACTTCATTCAAGGAAGTGCCAATCATGAAGAACTTGTTAGGATTCCCATTGATTTCGATCCGATCCAAGTCTTCAGTTGCCTTTTCGCTGGGGATTTTCCCAATGTCCTTGAGGCTCCTCGATCCGGTACTTCAATCAAATTCACTTCTAATTCCTTTGGCCTCTTTGCAGCAGTAACAAGGTAGCATGCTTGTGTCGATTTCTGAGAATCCCAAATTTGTTCAATGCCATACTCAATTGGAAAGCAGAGTAATTGATGGTAGGTGTTCGGCACAGCTTGTATAGTATGCAACCAAGTTCTTCCTATGATGAGATTGTATGGTGACGAAAGTTTTACAACCAGAAATTCTACATCTACGGATCTGGTGCCTACTTAAACTGGTAGTGTGATCTTACCCAATTGTGACTCGGGGTTAGCGTTGAAGCCGAATAATGGGTAATCGGTCGACAACAAATCTGAGTTAGTGAAGCCGAGTTTAACAAACGTCTTGTAATACATTATTTCTGAAGTGCCTCCTTGATTAATGAGAACACGTTCGACTGTGAATCTGTTCACGCGTAACTCGACAACGAGGAGATCGGCGTGGGGGAGAGTTACTCCAACTAAGTCGGTGTCATCGAAGCTAATCCTCTCAGTTTCATGGGGCAATTTGGCTGGTGTGATTGGATTATGCAGGCTAGGTTGTAACTGAATTGCATGTACCTCAGCTGATGACGGTAGGCTGTATATCATGTGAATTACATCAAGTGGAGGTGAATCCGGTCGTAGGGCTACCGTGTTCGATGGATTGTTCTTTCGGACGTGTTGCGCCAGTTGGTCGTCTTGTTCCAACTCTTCCAAGTGGTCCTTCAGTGCATAACAACTGTCGGTATCGTGGCCATGGTCCTTATGATATTCGCACCGCTTATCTCTTCTCCTTGTATTAGGAGGCCCCATCATTTTGGACGGCCATTTAAAAAATAGAAGGTGTTGGACTTTTAATAAGATCTTGCTGATCGGCTCTGCCAATTTCGTGTACTTCTTGTCCGAACATCTTGTGCGCCTACTATCCACTTGCTATTGTTCATTTGATCGGTGTGAACACTGATTGCTTGAACGGTGCGAATCACGCCTTTTGTCTCGTTTACCCCGATTCCGCAATTTAGGGCTCCTTGACATCACGACGCTTATTGGCTGAATGAGACCAGATGGAGCCGTCTTAACAGCTTTCTGTCCGATTTTGACCCGCAGGGCATCGCCTTTCACCTTATAATATTCTTCGACTTTCTTCATTAACGCCCAAACTGTTTTGGGGACAGGTTTGGTCAATGAACTGCGTAGAGGACTATCAGGATGTAATCCCATTTTAAAGGCGGTAATGGCCATGGAGTCATTGCAGGCATCATCCACCAGGTTGAAACATTCCCAATATCGCGCCGAATACTCATGGAGGGTTTTTTCTGGTTTAATTTGCATTGCCCAGAGAGAGTCGGCTTGCTTTGGCTAAACTTTATTGGTAATGAATCCTGCCCTGAAGGATTTTTAGAGTTGGTGAAAACTTTTTATTGGCGCCGACTCCAATTTATAGTACCATTTGATGGCCAACGGTCCCAAGCTACTTGGAAACATTCGGCACATGAGGGCTTCTTCATCAGCATGCAACGTCATCGTTTGTTTATAATGACGAATATGGTCAGTGGGATCCAATTTTCTGTCATACAAGGTGAACGGTGGTGCTTTGAACTTTTCAGGCAGCACAGCCCTTGCGATGCGTCGTACGAAAGGGTCATGCCTGTCTTTCTCATCCGAATCATCACTTTCTTTCCCTCGTCTGTGCCTTACATATGGACTCCCTTCGAATGAGCTAGATAAATCGACTCATCCCTTCTTTCTAGGCTCCTGGGATGGTGAGTCAGAGTCGCTGCAATTACCGTGTTTTCGAAGTCGACGTTGTCGATCGTCCTTCTTTCTGGGGGATCGACGCCGGTCAAGGCATGCGGCCTGTTGGGATTTGGCTACCTCCAAGGCCAATTCTTTACGTAAACGCTCGTTATCGGCCGCAATATCTTTCAAGCGTTGCTTATTTCGTTTCGCTTGATCCATGATCGTTTGCATAGTCTCCTGTATTGAGGCTGAGGGTGGGGTTTGAGCTACTGAGTCGAAATTCAGGGCCCTTCTCGCGTCGATATTCTCCGATCCAAGCATGTTTCTTGGAGTAACATCATTTCTTGGTGTAACATCGTCAGCAACGAGCAAATGATCATTTGTTACGCCTGCCATGAACGTACTTGAGTATTCTCACAGATTGCGCCAATTGTAGAGAAGTGGTTTGGAAATACTCCTGAATTCAGTCAGACGTCCCTGATCCTTTGATCGTTACCCAAAAAAGAGATGAACACTCCGGTCGGGGGTGCCGGAATTAGCACTCCGACGGACAAGTCAGTATCCTCTCTAGTTTACTTCTATTTCAAGTTATGTTATCTATTCTCACATACCTTTTTTTGGTTCACGTTCTTCTTTTTATACTACCTCTGGGCCCAAGGGTCGGGCCCACTCTTAATCTTGCACATGGTTGCTTACTTGGCCTTCCAGTTGTGTGTTGTTTCCTGGTCACAGCTGTATTGGCTAACTTTTAATCTCACACATTCGTATATTCGGCCTTATGAGCCCTTGGTCACGACAAAATTTATCAAAATTACTGGCTTTTCTTGATTAACATTATTCGGCCTCCACATACTTAATTTAAATGAATATATTTTATGTTGTGCGGGGAGCAAATGTTCAAGCGAGCCCGCACTCCTTGCTTCCGAGCTCTGTTTCTGTCTGATCACCTGCGTGCACAACAGCGATGAGCTACCCGGCGGTGTGTGGCCGGAAAACCCCTCCGACGATCAAGTTAGCACACACCTGAGGATAGATAGAGAGAATGGAGAGTGTTGAGTGTTTAGTGTATGTCTCACCAAATGTTCGTCTGTCCAGCATGGGGGGGCACAGACTTACTTATATACCTTCTGCGCCCCAAATCTACTCTCAGTGATCTCTCGACACGTGGTTCTACTATCCCATTTGTCAGCACAAATCTTGCTGAACATCACCTAACCCGACGGCCAGCCCACTCTACTGGGAGCTCGGCAGTCGGGCTAAATCTTCTCGGGTGTCGACTGCCATGCTGTGTTTCATGCCCAATTGCTCTAAGAACTGAGATCCTTTCCAGCCATGCTCCGCAGCATTCCGGCGAAGCCGACCTTGAGATTGGTCGTACCGGTCAACCCAAGGCCTTATAGCCGGGATTCTGGCGCAAGCATCTCGGCCGGGCTAACGGTGCGTGCCTTTGACCGAGCAATGCAAGTTGCACGGTTATCACCTGCGCAGATCCAAGTAGCTTGGTCCATCTTTAAGTAGCCCCAACTCTGGGCAAATCCAAAGTTATCGCGGCCCAACACACCATTGGGCCTCCAATTTGCTCGGCCTCTAACTCGGCCCATATCCGGCTCATAATTCTCCCTCTCAATTGCCCCTTAATTTTGTCCGTGCAAGCGTGACTGGGATTACCAATTCTGATCGGGGTAACACTTCCTCGGTCCTCGGTTTACAATACGGTGACCAGGCTACTTGACGTGCCTGTCTTCAAAACTTGCCCGGTCGATGCCTCGATTCACCATCCTGTCTTTTCAGTATTGACGCCGCCGTCAATAGGGACGCATGTCGTGGGTTGATTGGCCTTAAATAGCCAAACATCACGTCCGTTTAGATTCAAATTTTTGGCGGTCTTCTTCATCTCTATAAACATGTTAAACCTTCTTTCATTCCAACCTTACTGACTCTCTCTCCTCCTTGTCGATCCAGAGCTTCTGCCTTCGCTTGCTTGCCATTGCTGAGTTCATCTTCGAAAAAGAAGATTTTGCCCTCTCCTGGTAGGTTCTCCGAGCCCTTGTTATTACTGTTTTTGTTTCATATTTTTCTTCTTTATAGCACCAAATCCGTAGGTTTAGGGCCTCCCCTACCCAAAACCTCCAATGCCCCTCAGTTTCTTCACTGTTCTTCAATTTCCCTGATGAACAATGAAGATCTGGGGCAGATAGGGCTCCAGATCTTCATTCGATCCAAAAAATCACTCAGACCGAGCAAATCTTTAGTTTGTCCCAACCTTAGGAGAAACCGGGGTAGCAAAAAGGACTTGGTTGCTCGACCGGGCTAATCTCTGGTTCGCTCGGGCGACCGAGCTCCTTGGATAACCTTTACAACCGAGTTGGTTTGGCATAATCCACGACTGAGCTCAACTCTAGCTCGTTTTGCGCGATCGCGCTTCCACTTACAATTACCCTCCGTTTTCCTGTTGAGTCCAAGGGGACCAAAGACCAATCCTGAGGCTCTCAAGGACCGAGCAGCCATTAATTCCCAGCCTGTGCCAAACCACCTCAGCCGAGCTAGATTAGTCAGTCAAACATGGGGAAATTCCGCTTCCTTGTGGACACACTTGCTGCCTTGGCTGCTTTTAGGGAAGAATACGATATTTCGGCAGACATCCACATAGAGCTCGTCGAGATGGAAACAACCCCTTGGGGCAGGCTTGACCAATGCCCCTTCACCGTGCTGTCAGTAATTGAAGGAGGCCTCCGCTTCCCGGTCAACCCTCTGATGACCGAATTTCTGCGCCGCACCGGGCTAGCACCCACCCAGGTTTCGACCAACACCTACCTCATAATCAATGGCGTGCACAAGCTAAACAACTGGCTAGGAACAAACTTAGGTTTAGCCGAGATACTACGACAATACACCCTTGGGCACACCGGCGACGGCCTGGCCTATTATTTAAAAATAAGACTGAGCAAAGAGAAGATAATAACCGGTACCCCGGACAAGGACTTACATGATGACAACTTCTTCTGGGTGTCTGGCAATTATGAAACAGCCGACATACCGGGCTGGTTCATCAGCAAGAACTTTGGTTCCACATGTAAGCTGCGCTAATTTGCTCGGTTAAGTCCCTACCTTCAACATTCTGTACTTACTATTTTTCCTGTTTCTTTTGCAGCAATTCAAGCCTTGCAATCCAACTACCAATATCCCAACGTTGAAGCCATTCGAACAGTGCTCCGTTACAGCCACCGGGATTGTAACGAGTTGCTCGGCTACACTCCAACCTACAGATACTCAGCTCCACGCCGGAGCAAAGTTACAGACTTTCTCCATGCTCCAACGCCTCCTCCGGACCCAACGTGCCGCTAATCCGGCTGACCGAAGAATAAGAGATGGCAAAACAAAGCCGCATCAAGAACCTCCTCACAGCAACGTCAGCCGAGATACCGAGCATCAATATCCATTCTCAAGCTGTCGGGCAATCTAGCGGCCCCGTGGTCGCTTTGGCGTCTCCAGCCGCCGGGCAGGCCAGACAAGAGACCCGCCGGGCTGGCAAAAGACCTCGCGCAGATCCAACTGCCGAGCTGGTTGCCGAGCTAACCACCGAGCAACCCACCGATACTGTCAACCCAACACCTCCGTGGTGACCGCAGCTGAAGCATCGGGGTAAAGACATCTCAGCTAATGCTTCCGTCAAGGGCGACAAGGAGCACTTGTTCGCCTTCGACCTTTTAAAAGCCCTACTGCTGCCGAGCGACGTGGTGGGCAGCGACCACATCCCTGACACCCGGTTGGTGAAATCAGCCATGAAGTCCATGACCAGCGTAAGAATCTCAATCTTCTACTGAAATTTTATGAGTGTTTGCGCGGTTTCTTCTCTGATCGAACTTTCTTCTTACAGGCCATCCAGAAGCAACACTTGGTCATGTAGTGAATCCATCGACTGCGGCAGAAGGCGAATGACACTACCGGCCAATTACAGAGCCTTCAAACTAAGCTGGGCCGAGCAAAATCCTCTCTGCAAATTGCCAATGCTGACAACAATAGGTTGCTCAGCCAGCTTGATGAAGCCGAGAAGAAGAGAGATGAGATCCAGG